TAAATTGGAGGTTAATTTAAAATAATTAAGAAAATATCAATAATTTTGTAATTAAACAAACCTGATAAATGCGATATTTTTAAATGAAGGATGGGCAAATTTCCAGCAATTTTAGAACACACTAAGAGAATCTTATTTCTTTTACGTAATGCTAGTGTAGGTAGAGAAGAGAATCAAAAAAGATCCAACGTGAGGTTAACCGCAGCCTCTATACTCCAAGGGGGAAAAAACATTACCAATATTAGTGGCTCATAACAATTAATTCTTAAAAATAATAATACCAATGGGAGGGTTCAATAGTTTTTCAACAATTTTATGGCAGTAGAACAATTATGATTGGTTTACTAAAGATGTAAGGTACTGCAATTACTGTAATACAATTGAAATAACATTTTCAAAATAACCGTACTTTTTAAAAATTTACATGATTTGTTACTTATTTAAAATTTCCGTATTCAAAACACCTTTTTTTATTGAGTTTCTACATATCATTAAATAATATTTACGCTATTAAAGAAAATTCGTACCTGTAATTTATAATCGTACCTGTAAGAATTTAAAAACAAAAAACTTAATTCCAATTCCAAACAGGCTTTACCTTTGTACACTTAATAAACATTAATTTTTTTTGCATATTCATATTCAGACATTCTTTACATTGCTGCAGTTATAATTTGCGTAATATATACGCAAATTATAACTGCAGCAACTTGCTTACATTATGCTAATAATAATTTTTTGATGAACTACTAGAAAAATTTTCTCTTTTATAAAAATTAAAATTCATAACAACACCAGCTGTAAGCTTACTATCATTATTAAAAAACTTAAAATCTGTTCAGAATTTAAAATTTAATTTTATTGACTTTTAGTGTATTTCCAAAAAAAAACTCGTTTATAGACAAGACAAGGTACTCAAATATTGTTTAATGAAAAAAAATTGTGTCTCAAAAACATGATAATCCAATTATAATTAATTTCTACAATAATAGCAACAAATTTTGTCTTATTTCTCAGAAGTATTTTATATTTAATTTGTTATTAAATGAGGATAAAAAAAAGGATAATATTGTAGTATCCTTTTTAAAGCACTAATGAAAATTTTATATAGATATATATATCTTTACATATATATATACACATAGAAAGAGATAAAAGACAAAAATAAAAATACTTGGTCTTTCATGTCTTCGTTTTTTCTGAGAATTTTTAAAAACACCTGTCAAATTGTACATAAATACCTTAAAGGTACAAAAAAAAAATAAAATATTTTGCCTTTGCCTTTTTTTTGGTTTTTTATTTTAATAAGGACAAAAATTTGTATATGTGTATATAGATAAGGTGTATATATAAGTACAAAAAGAAGGAATTATTGAAAAAGTTGAGTAATAATTTTTTTTATTATTTTTTACGCTTTCTGGTCATTCGTGTGCAATTAAAGATAATTTTTGGTAGTTTATTTTATAAACAATATTAACTATATTGACTATTAAAATTGTTAATCATTTTAATAGTCAATATTTTGTTTCTAATGAATATTTGCAAAAATTATTTGAATTAATTTAAATATACATATATACGTATATTTTAGTTTTCTATTATGAAAAGTGTCGCTTTTGGGTTCAACTTTTGAAGACAATGAAAGTTTAAGACAAAAACAGAGCGAGAATGTTTTCCGCGACGAAATGTCAAAATTCATAGAAATACACATATATAATTTGGACTGGCCAGAATTAAGCGAAATTATCGTTGCGTATTTAACCGTCGGCAATAAAATAGCCTAAATACCTTTTTCACCGCTGGCGGTTTTTTTGACATCGTCTGTTTCCACGTGTGTGTCACACTACGTATAAAATACTGAACAAAATGATTTTGCCGTTTTACTGTTCTAGGTCAACAACGGAAATATTTCCACCACTACCGTTGACCGCTTTAGTTTTATTTTTACAATGACTGAAAGAGAACCGATAATCGAAATTTTTTGATGCCAAAAAATTAAAAAATTGTTTTTAAATAAACTAGTGACAAACAAAAGTACAAATAAAAAATTAGAGAAAGAAACATATGCTCGAGCTTTTTTTGACTTTTTGGAAGTAAATGAGGAAAATGAATATTCTATTAATTTGATTAAAATTTGAAATTGCTGCCGATCAGTTATGTTTAAACTGAAATTAAAAACAGTATTTAATATTGAAAAAACATTATTTTAGATTAAAATATGGAATTATGTTTAGATTTTTTTCGTTTCCTTTAAGTTTAAGCAATTATTCCATAGCAACTTTTATATTTTTGTTGACAGCAAAATATACGCGATTAAATGTCACAAAAAAATGTGAACTACGTTAAAAGTCCGTCTAATACTCTAGTAGAATAACATTTAGTCACTTTTTTGACAAGTAGTGAGCTATTCTATTAGAATAGCACATCTGTCACAAAAAATTTTATGCGACCCGTCTGGTAGAATATGCTGTATATTTTGCGATGAAAATGAATTTGGAAATATTAAAATACAAACTGACTCGCTTCAAATAAGAAATTTGAAAGCAACGCTACAATACCAGCAGTAAATCGAAAATCGGATCATACATCAAATGACATTGTTAAATTTCAATTTTCGTTTTTTCATTTCAAAGAGAGTATAAAAGGGCTAGACTATTAAATGGAGCAGCTTCACTTCAGAATGTTGAATAAACGAAAGTAACCGACGAACGATTTTACACTAAAAAATTAATAACACCTTATTCCAAATACAGAGCTTATTTAATATTGTATCAACTTTGAAAAACTAGATGGTTTCGATATTTAAAAATTATCGATAGTATCGACAGTGCCATCGATAGTTCTCCACTACTATTTAAATTCTCAAGTAATACGCAATTACGCATTATTTAATGTAGACGAGTAAAAATTTTTAAAAGTAATAGCTATCAAGTTTATTAAAAAATTTTGAAATCAAAAGCGATCGATTAAAAAAAAATAAAAAAAAATAAAAATCCATTAAAACTTCAATTCATTTAAAAAAAAATTCTATAAAATTTTTTCTATTTGCTATCATTTAATTAACTTAACAAATACTTTTATTGAAATTAATTAATTAAAGCAACAAAAGGGAGAAATGACAATAAGCAACAACAAAATGCAAGTACTCCTTTGCACCTTTTTCATACAAAGTATCTGCAGAACAAACTGGCGTCAAAATAAATTCAATTTTTTTTCGAAACTAGTGATGACCAAAGAACAAACTTATTAATTAATAAGGTAAGTTTTTAGTTAATTTTCTAACAATTTCTTGAAAATATCTGGATGCATTCTTTCCACTTCAGTAAAATTTTCGATTTAAAATTCATATTTCATTATTGTTACGGTTTTCGTAAGTGGTAACCAATTATTATTATTCTTCTTTGAAAATTTATCTTCATAATTCAATTTATTTCCAGTTGCAAAACAAACTTAAATTAAAAAAAAAATTAAAACAAAAAGAAATTAAAACTTAGTTTGATTGGTGATTACATTATATAATGATGGTGCTATGTATCGGGTTCCCATTTTATACAAGGAGAACCTGCAAATAAAATATTTTATACAGCTTTTAGAAGTCATAAACCATAAAAGTTTTTTAAAGTCAACTGGAAGTCATATGTTAATAATATTCAAATTAGCTACACCTTATTATATTATGTGTTGGCATATTATAACAGCCTAGTTCCAAGATAATGTTTGAATATTTCAATAAAATAAGTACGTTATAATTTGATCGTAATTTTGAAAAAAAGTGTGAAAACTGTCAATTTTACCTGATATTTTCAGAAAAACTCACCTTCACAAGTATCATTTTAATTTAATATTCTCATTATTCTGAAAATAATTAAGGCATACATGAGTAAGGTATCCTGCTTTACTTACATTTTAGATATGCAGATATTGATTTAAACGTAAATGAGGAGCACTTTGAATTGTGAAGCATTTGATTTGCAACCCTTTGAGGTGCAATGCCTAAAAGTTTCGTGTTCTTTAATTTTTCCCGAAAGATTGCAATGACTTTATGCAATCGTACTTGATAGATCATTTTTTTCAAAAGAATCCTTAAATATCGAAAACTTTGAAATTTAATTATATGTTTTGCGAAAGCAATAGAAAAATCAATTTCTGTTCCGTTTTTTCGTAAATACTTACCAAATCAAAAAGAGATTTAATGAAAATGCTAAAAACTACTTAAAACTTGTTCTTGACTAAAATTTCAAGTTAAATTTTCGATTGTGGAATAGGTGTGAATTTATTCTTATTTTTTGAATTACAATTTTAAATCATATCCTTTCAATTTTTTTTTCACTTTCCAACAAGTTTTTTAATCCATTGACATTTTTACATTGTGATGTGATCTAAGCTTTGAATTACATAATCTGGCTATGGTTATTTGAAAATTGAATTGATTTTTGATTGTGTTTCATTTCAAGATAAGTAAAAATTTAGCAAGGATGAAAAAAACTTTTTAATTCTCATTCATTTTTCTTTCGCTAAAATCTCATAAATTGAAAGAAAAGAAAATATTTCACTCCTCTTTTAACAATAACAATGGGATAAAATCAAAAAATACAAAAAAGTTTAAAAAATAAATTTATAGCAATTGGGAATGCATTTGCAATCTGACTATGCAGTATTGATAACTTGTGTATTGGTGGATTATAAATAGTTGACTGCGTTACACGATCTAAGGATGTTAATTAAAAGTTTTCATCTATGAAAACAAAAATGTTTTATTTTGCGTTGATTTTTTGTTATTATGTAAAAAGTTTAATTATTATTATTAATATAATTAAGTTCTAAATTTAAGTTGATTAAGTGATAATAATAAAGTGACACGTAAAAATTCAATTTTAAGTTTAATCTTTTAAGATTTTTAATTAATTTTTGCGTTTTAAAAATGAAAAATGAAAAATGATTAGTTATTATTATTGAATGAATAATTATTATACTTGTCATTAATATAATGTTTATTAAGATAAAATTAGTGTTCTTTAATAATATACGCGATTCTATTTTGCAATAATTTAATTAAACACGGAAATTAATTATTTATACATGACAATAATGAATAAGTTTTTTAATAAATTTAACTAATATAATAGAATTGAAATAATTCATTATTAAACACTCTAGCATTCTCTATTTGTAGCCCAAGTTGATTTATATTTGTGCTTGAAAATTTATTTGTTTGTCACAAAGCTGTTCATACCTAAAAAAAAAGGAATAATTGTATTGGTTTATTCAAACTTTATTTTAAAATACTAAAGAAAAATACTTTAATATCAAATTCTGTAACAACTGCAACCCAATTTCACCATTTGTCATTTCTTATTATCTGAAAAATTGAAAAATGAAAAAATTTTATTGAATATTTATTTAATATTGATTCTTAATTTAAAATTAAAATTAAGAACAATAAAATTCCTAACATTTATTCAAGTATGTATAAACATTAATTACTCTAAGCCACATAAAATGTCTTCCTCAATGGATAATAATTTAATTAATAAGAAATTTAAAGGAGATTTTACAATAAAGTAGTAATAATTTCTTCCGCATTGTTATTTTGAATGGAAAATTATAATATTGAAGATTATATTTTTACTGCTTACAATTTCTATTTTCTAAATTCATTTATTATTCTCAATACAATTATAAATTATTATTGCCGTAGGAATATATGCTCGAAGGGTATCATAAATTTGCCTTCCCGTTTTACAACACTAAGAAATAATAGTTTGAGTAAATTTAATCATCCATCTGCCTCAACGATGACTCAAAAATTAAATGAGCTTAGCTTATAAAATTTTCAAAAATGATTTGTGAAAGAAAATTGCCGGACGAATCTCTTTTAAATTGCATGGATCGGGCTGTTATGTGTGATAAAGACATCGGGCTGTAATGTGTGACTATGTGAGCTTATTTATGGTAATTGCCATATATGTATAAAATGCCACTTGCACATACAAAAAATATAGTCATGTTACATGTGAAGCAGTGGGTGATTACAATACAACTATTAAAATCATTCATTCGTATGCGTGTTCCAAAGTTGACACGGTGAACTCTACTTATTCTCGTAGTTAATTAAATTTATACAATATGGTTATTAGTTCTTTTTTTTCTTTTTTTTTAAATATTTGATATTCTTTGTATAACAATATACAAAAGCATTTATTATTACAATAATGAAGCGATTATCATTATTATTTAAAGTATTATAAAGTATTTGTTAGTGGTGTATTTAATCTGTTTAATGCACTTTATAATAATTTGTGTAAATAATTATATTGTGTGTAGGCATTTTGATCTCAACTGATACCAATATTATAGTTTTTTTTTCGAACCTATATAATTATTTAAATATGTAGTATTATGGGGAAATTATCATAGAATTATCTTATAACTTAAATAATTTTTGAAATGTATTGAAAATATAGAGAATTAAATTAAATTAAATTTAATTAAAAACAATTAAAAACGAAAAAAAATATTAGAATTTTATTCAATAAAAATATTTAAATTTTAATTACATAAAATATGCCTATAGTTTTTTTGTTTTCTAAGTGATAATTAAATATATAATAAATTAGTGGAAAATCATTTAAATTTTATTTTGTTAATCTCATAATGAAAGTTAACTAAGCCATGATTATTACAATAATGTATTGTCAAAATGCAATTATTGTTCAATTATAATATTAGACCAGTTTACCTATATTAAAAACATATTTGAACATAACTTTGAATCATTTTAAAGAATTTCAAATTTCTATTCTATTTTTGAAAATAATTAGCCGATTCGGCCTTATATACTCAGTTGATTATTTTCTAAAATTCAATCAAAAATTCCAGTACAATTAGGTTTTTTCCCTTAATCAATTTGACATCATCAATTTGACAATCATTTCAACAACTAGTGTAAGTTCTTGTTTTCCTTTTCTACATCAAAATCAGTAATTTTTAACAATTGATTTTTCTAAATGCAGTAACAGATGAACAAATGCAAAAGAAACAAAAAATGACAAAAATTTGAGTTCGCAACAAAAACTGGATTTTTTTGAGACTAGCGTGATGGAATTCATGATTTTTGCAATTAGTATACTAATGTTCTAGGAGGCCGTACTTGTCAGATTCTAATTTAAATTAAATCAGTTTTACAATTAGAACTCAGGCCTTTTTCACCGATTTCGTAAATCTGTAAATTTGAACTGTCGTAAACATGTGACCGAAAGTGAATTAATTTAAATTGTCTCTTTTGTTTCTTTATAAATTTTATCATTAAAATTCTTCCACAAATAAAAAAAGCATGCGACATAATAAATATTTGTAAATTCTAAAATGATGACCAAGCAAAATTTTATCTTGGGACAAAAAATTAAACGTTCAGAAATGAAAAATATTTTTTTTTCAAATAAGATGGGACTCAAATAGAGACAGAAATAGAGAGTTCAAACAGAAAGCAGAAGAATTATTATAGTACAAAGGGCAAATTTCTTAGAATTTAAGCCAAACAAAGGAAAAACTAATATAGGTTAAACGAATTCCTTGTCAACTCCCTCTCCCTACCCTAAATTTTCTTTTTAAGTTATTTAGTTTAAGTGTGTCGTATTAGTGTTCTTCTTCTTTATACCGTTTTATTAAAATGGCGGAATTTATTTAATATACATGGTTAAATATCAACATATTCTGATTATATGCATTCAAATATCCTTTAAAATATTAGATTTTCAAAAATGAAGAAAAATACACAGGCACACAAAAATGGAGAGGGATCAACAAAACAAAAAAGGATTAGGCAAGGAACCTTAGATTTTCTCTCTTAATTTCTTTTTTTTTTTTGTTCTACAGAACAAAATAAACAAAAAGAAGTCTTTGTTTTCAATGAATGTAAACCGACTTTTCTTCTAAGCAATATACACAAACTATAAATTGAACAACCTCGAAACAGAAAAAAAGGAAAATAATAATTTTCCGTTATACTTTCATTTTGTTTTTGTTTAACATTCTCTCGTTCTCTCTCTCTCTCTCGTGCACATGTAAAATTGGCACACGAAAAAGTCCTCTTTAAAAATATGAATGAATATTCATGAATCTTATGAAGTGTACGTAATTTAAGTGTATATAATGAGAAAATGATAAAAAGAAAAAAAATGAGGAAAGGAAAAAATTTTCATTAAAGAGTAGATATGAGAATAGGAAAGAAATTTAATTCTTTTAACCTCATTTTAAAAACACTAAACGAAATAAATTTATAAAATTATCGAAATGAAAATGGGAATTTTAAATAAAAAATTTTATTTTTTTGGGGGGGGGGGGGGGGGGGGGGTCATATGCCTTTGTCATTATAACAGTGAAATAATTTAAATAGAAAGAAATATGCTTGAATACAGAGTTGATAAGTAATTAAGTATTTTCTAAATAATTAAGTTAAAACTTATACAAAATATAAAAAATTTCAGCTCCTTATTGACAAAGGTGATCTGGTCATACCATATAAAAACTTGTACCATATAAAAACTTGTAAATGATTGTGTTAAAGAAATATTAATTATTATAAATTTTCTATTGAAATTCCCACATTTCACAAATATTAAACAACGCAAGAATAATGTCAGAAAAATTCATCTTAATAGCATTTCATATTAAGTTTTGTTTTTGATTTCGTGCAGTTTTTCTTAAAGTGACACACATTAAACGTATTTTTTTTCCCCATTTAATTCATCTTTTCGTCTGTAAGTGAAAAATATATTGTATGAGTTCTCAATTTGTATGAGAAAATGAAATGTTTTCATTTTATATACAATTGAAATTAAATTGAAGTTACGACCTTCTTACAATCATTATCATTATCGACGTTATTCACAGTTTTTATAATCAACAATTTATCATCATCATCACCATCACTATATTGGAACATCATTATCAATATCTCGTATTATAAATATAAATGTAATGGTCTTTGCAATCATCACTTTTATTTTGGTGCCTTTAAAATTAAATTGAGGCTTCCTGTTTCTATCATCCATTATCAATCAACAATATTATTCTTCTTTTTTTAAAAATATGTATCTTTCATCTTAATATTAACATTGTTGCGAAGGGAAGGAGAGGCAGGAAAGAAATATTATAAGAAATAAATATGAAATAACGGGAACTGAACTTAACTGTTATCATAACTGTATTTTCCATTTTTTTCTCTCTTATTTTATGTTTTCTCTTTTCAATAAAACCTTAAAATATTAACGGTTTTTTCGCTCTGCTCATATCAAAGGACAAAAAAGAAAGTAAACAAAATTTTGCAATTTACAGTATTATTGTTGTTTTATTTTTTGTTGTCTTCCTCTCGGCTTTTGAAATTAAAATTTCATTTCAGTTTTCTTCAAATGAAAGCTAAAAAGAAAGTAAAGACAATTTTAAATTTTTAAATGAATTGATAAGAGAAAAATGAGAATGTGTGGTTGATTTAAATGTTACCGTGTTACTCAATTGAGTACACAATAACAATGACATTTTTTTTTCGTAAATTTTGCTTTCTGTTCTCGATTTTAAAATTTACTGAATTGCTTAAACATATTGGAATTCTTTTATTTTAAATTAAAATTTCTTTATTCTTTATTTCCTTACGTTGTTTCATAATATTCAATTTATAATTTTATTCAATCAAATATTAAAAATTATCAATTCAGGCTAAAATATTAAAAAATTAATATTTTTCCAATTAGTTTGAAATTTAATTAACCAATACTTTTTTTTCATAGCAGGACTACATTTTGGTATGAGCAAGAAAGTTATTTTTTGAAAATAAACATTTTATTGCAGAAATCTTCTAGTTTCTAAATATAAGGTTACTTATATTATGTTAGAGCAACGCAATAGTGTTTTAAATCAAACTCTGTTTCCCATATAGTCAAATTGATTAACTGAAAAGTTAACAAAAAAATTACTGATAATTATTGAAACTTTCCGCCCAACATGGCAAAATCACAACTGAATATGTGACAATTTGCAACATGGCATTGCAACATGACCAAATAGATTGTTACCGTCATTTGACGCTTCGATTTACGATCATTTTGACTATGCCGAAAGCAATTAAATTCTAATGACGAATAAATGAATGACGAATAATAAATGAATTTACATCTAAAATAGGCCGCCATAAACGTACCTAAATCTATACAGCGGTAAATATAGTTAAATAACAATATTATAGAAGAGTTATAATGGCTGCGTTTACTCAAAACTTAATATTATTTATTTCTCCTTTCAAATCAAAATGATCCTTATGTACATATGCATTTCCATAATATTATTTAAAATAATATAATTGTA